CTAGCCTCATATTATGCTTCTCCATTGCTTAGTGATAGTAGATTTCTGGGCCTAGAACAGGGGCAGGCAACCTTGGCTCTTTTATGACTCGTGGACTTCAACTCCCAGAATTCCTGAGCCAGCTATGCTGGCTCAGGAATTCTGGGAGTTGAAGTCCACGAGTCATAAAAGAGCCAAGGTTGCCTACCCCTGGCCTAGAAGAAATCCAAGTTGTAGGAAGTTGTTTTACAAAGTATCTGTGTTCTAAAGCTGAAGCTTAGGATTCAAATACTTCCAAAAATTAATCAAGCTTTTTTGGTATAGAAAAATACAGAACTCACAGTTTTTGTTTTCTCTTGTTGTGGAATTTGCTCAGGAATCAGTATAGCTCGTGGATTAGGGATCGTCAAGTTAAATTCATTTGGCTCAGTCACCTTTAAAGTTGTAGTAGTGTGTTTATCTGCAATATTATCGAGTTGATTGATCAATTCCTGTATTTTTGGCTGCCATCTTCCAGGAAGCCAAACAAACAAACAAAAATACAGTTTTATTTTTTATTTTGGGTTCCATCCGCTTAATAATACTAGCATAAGCAATTTTAGTTATTTTATAGAATTTAAACATGTAGATTGGTCCTGAACTGGAAGTCCAATACATGTTGAACTATAATAATTACTTGTCATTTGGAGTAAATCCACGCTTTATTTGCATGGTTATTCAATATCTGTATAAAGTAACCAGTTGTTATTCAGTTGTTATATACTGCTTCAATCTTTTTACAATGGACTCTATCCGACCAATGACATCTTACCCCATGTTTTTATTTTTTCTACTTTTAATATGATGCTCATTCAAACGGTCATGCTTAATATTATGGGATGTTTAGCAAACTGACCAATGTTGATGTAATTGGAAAGGATGGTTTCCTCCATACAATCAAGTTTTCTTTTATATTGTATTTGCTCTATTAAGTACATATATTTCAAGGATTCCAAGGCTTTTTTCATAGAGAGACCCTTATCAAAATAATAAATTGTATAAATGATCTTCTGATTTGGTTGCTTATTGGAGAAGAGTGTGCCGTGGCAGAATTTAGAGACCATTTGGCCATCATTCCAAGCCTTCTGATTGTTAGGCTACATTCCCAGTTCCTGCAACTGTTCATCATGTTTTAGCCTCCAGTCCCCTAATTGTCTTTGTTGCTCTTCTCTGTACTCCTTATAAAATCTCAACATGATTTTTGTATCAGAATGACTAAAATTGAATACTGTATTCCAAGTGTGGTCTTATCAGTGCAGTATAAAGTGATACTAATATTTCATGTGATCTTGATATTATCTCTAATACGTAGTACTTCGTTTCTATCAGACTGAAACAGAATCATAAAAATCTTGAAAAAGCGTTTAAAATTAGCTCAAAATTGGTTAATATATCTAAAACTACATGATTTTGTTGTTACATGCACCACAGAATTTACACAAAAGGGACAACAGTTCCAATCTCAGTTAAGTAGAGATTCAAATGAACAGTATTACTTAAGATGCAGTTCCATTCAAACAGCAAATCATGCACATTTTTGAGAAATATGTCCTGACAATGCATTGGGAATTACTTGAGAAAGCATGTCTATAATTGCTGTCTTACCTTTGCAGTGGTTCAATCCAATTTTCATTTACATAAACCGAATCATAAATCTGACTCCATTCATCTTTTATCCATGTTTGCAAATTCATCACATTGAAAAAGAACCTAAGGAACTGAAAAGACTGTACGAGTCAATGAAAGAAGCTTAGTCAACAAATTATTTGCTTTGAAATCAGATCACATTTTCTATTTTCAGCAATAACCCATTCATAATTTATATTGAAATATTGTCTAGAGTACTAGATACGATCATAGGTATTTTCCATCAGAATTGAGGAGATGTCTATTTTGGAAATTTCACTTTCCTCCATATTTGTATTCTGTAAATATGCCCTAGAGCAGGGGTGTCAAACTGCCAGCCCGCAGGCCGGTTGCCTCATATGGAGGCCGCGCCCACCCCAGCTCTGGCAATGCAAAAAAAGTCACGATATGTTACGTGACGTGGCGAGTTTGACACCCATGCTCTTGAGTTTCAGAACCTCCAAAATACATTGTGTACACAATTATTAGGCAAGTGAGTATTTTGACCATATCATCCTTTTCATACATATTTTCTACCTCCAAGCTTTATAAACTTCAATGATTAGTGGATATAAGCATGTCAGGTGATGTGCATTTGTGTAATGAAGGAGGGTGTGGCTTAAGGAGATCAACACCCCATATGAAGGTATGCTTAATTATTAGGCAGCTTCTTTTCCTCAGGCAAAATGGGCCCAAAAAGAGTTTTAACTGACTCTGAAAAGTCAAACATTGTAAACATTTCAGAGGGATGTAACACGCTTGAAACTGCTAAGATATTCGGGCGTGATTACAGAACCATCAAATGTTTTGTTGCAAATAGTCAACAGGGTCGCAAGAAATGTGTTGAGAAAAAAAGACGCAGGATTTGAGAAGAATCAAATGTGAAGCTACCAGGAACCAATTATCCACCAGAACTGCAACCTACCTGGAGTGTCCAGAAGTACAAGGTGTTCGGTGCTCAGAAACATGGCCAAGATAAGGTAGGTTGAAACCCAACCACCAATGAACAAGACAAGTAAGCCAAAATTGCAAGTTTAGTAAAAGCCTTAAAGATGAAATAATAATGACATGGCCCCCTTCCNACTGCCCTCCATATCACCAATCTGTTAAAAACCAAAGGGGGAATAAACTAAAACCTAGCCGGCCATTAAAATGGACAGGAGAATGTCAAGCAGCATTTGAAAAACTTTAAAATTATTCTCCATGGAGACTGTCCTGAAGCATCCAGACCCAGACCAGCAATTGCCTACAACAATGCAGTACATTCCAGTACTGGGTTTACTCCTTTCCAAGTTGCCAATGGCCAAACATTTATGGCCATTCCAGAACTCCCCACTAAAGAGCCCGAAATCCCATTGCTCAAAGATTGGATTAAGCAATTGCAAAATACCTGGCTGATTGTTCGTAAAGCACTCGATGAGGCCAGAGAGACCTACAAACTGCAAGCGGATAAAAAGAGGATGGAACAAAAACTTTTCGAAGTCGGCGAGCGTGTATTTCTTTCCACTAAATATTTAAAATCGTTACAACCCTCAAAAAAGTTAGGACCTAAGTATGTTGGACCTTTCCCAATTACACGTATCATTAACCCAGTTAACAGTCGAATTAGATCTGCCAAAGAATCTACGGAAAATTCACCTGGTGTTCCATTGCAGCTTGCTGAAACCAGAAGTCACCTCCACTCTCAGGCCCCCTGCTTCCCTGTTACCTACACCTATTATGGTTGAGGGTGAACAGCATTTTGAAACTAGACATTTTGGACTCCAGAACCCATCATGGGATGACTCAATATCTAGTTTCGTGGAAAACCCTCCCTGCCTCCCAGAATGAATGGGTGTACAAGAAACATGTTAGAGCCCCTAGATTGCTACAATGTTTTCACTCCTTATATCTTGATAAACTTAAATGATTTGTTTGCTGTTTTTCCCTTCCCTCTTTTGTCTTTCAGGTGCACTTTCCAGTTTTTTAGGGGGGCCGGATGTCAGACCCCAAACCCCTCGCCTATTCTCTTTTGCCTTCTATTCTTTTGGGGCCTGCCATTCTGTTGGGGGAGGGGGTGCATGGGGGCATATGTTGGTAACTTTCGCTTTCCTCTTTCTTTGTCGGGCCTCCTCCTTTTGAGTATGGAATGCGTCTCCTTATCTAGGAGACAGTTGCAAGGAAACGAAAGCTGGAGAAGACCGAGATATGCGCCTACCGTACCAGTCAGCCGGCCATCGAGCCACCTGTGGATTGGCTGGAGTTCAAACAGACATTATGACTTTGGTGGGAGGGGGCATATTGCTTGCTTTAATTATATCATTCATGCGGGCTTTTCTTCAGATCTCGTCTTACATTACCTGCTATCACTAGTCCCTAATAAAAGTTCCTTTTGAGACAATGCCTGTTTCAAGAGTTCTGCTTTCTTGGGTGATTAGTTGAAGTGGGTCCTGACAGCAGTTCTGTTGGGATGTTTTTGATTACTCCCCCTATAGCCCAGATTTGGCGCCGAGCGACTACCATCTCTTCAGGCACATGAAACAGTGGCTTGAGTCGCACCGCTTCAACGATGACAATGCGCTTCACAATGCTGTTACAGGGTGGCTTCATTCCCAGGCAGGAGATTGTTTTGCAGAAGGAATTTCACACCTTGTAAGACATTATGACAAGTGCCTCAATTTGAATGGTGATTATGCCGAAAAGTAATGTAACGTTGTAGTTTTCTAATGTGTATAATAAAGGTTTTGTATCTGCGTGTGTCTGTCATTGATAACCGAACGGAGGTTTATTTCTGAATTGCCCTCGTACATTCCAAACATGATGTATATTTAGTAGTAGCCCCTAAACGTTCACACTTTCCTTGGACTGAATTGAAATGGTGGTTCTTTTAAGCGAGGGTGAAATTCTTTTCTCTTAAATGTGAGTCCTTTTGAATTTGCTGAGAGATATTAGAAACATTTTGCTTCCTCTCCTGATTTTATTATCTGTTCTGACATATGGCAAAACTATGCAAGGTTCTGAAAAAGCTGTGAAATAATTTAAAGAGAAGCTTCCTCTCTCTGATTCTGAATAAGGTTTAAAGGCTTTATTCAGCTTTGAGAAGAGGCCTAGCCTCATATTATGCTTCTCCATTGCTTAGTGATAGTAGATTTCTGGGCCTAGAATAGGGGCAGGCAAGCTATGCTGGCTCAGGAATTCTGGGAGTTGAAGTCCACGAGTCATAAAAGAGCCAAGGTTGCCTACCCCTGGCCTAGAAGAAATCCAAGTTGTAGGAAGTTGTTTTACAAAGTATCTGTGTTCTAAAGCTGAAGCTTAGGATTCAAATACTTTCAAAAATTAATCAAGCTTTTTTTAGTATAGAAAAATACAGAACTCACAGGTTTTGTTTTCTCTTGTTGTGGAATTTGCTCAGGAATCAGTATAGCTCGTGGATTAGGGATCGTCAAGTTAAATTCATTTGGCTCAGTCATCTTTAAAGTTGTAGTAGTGTGTTTAGCTGCAATATTATCGAGCTGATTGATCAATTCCTGTATTTTTGGCTGCCATCTTCCAGGAAGCCAAACAAACAAACAAAAATACAGTTTTATTTTTTATTTTGGGTTCTATCCGCTTAATAATACTAGCATAAGCAATTTTAGTTATTTTATAGAATTTAAACATGTAGGTTGGTCCTGAACTGGAAGTCTAATACATGTTGAAATATAATAATTACTTGTCATTTGGAGTAAATCCACGCTTTATTTGCATGGTTATTCAATATCTGTATAAAGTAACCAGTTGTTATTCAGTTGTTATATACTGCTTCAATCTTTTTACAATGGACTCTATCCGACCAATGACATCTTACCCCATGTTTTTATTTTTTCTACTTTTAATATGATGCTCATTCAAACGGTCATGCTTAATATTATGGGATGTTTAGCAAACTGATCAATGTTGATGTAATTGGAAAGGATGGTTTCCTCCATCCAATCAAGTTTTCTTTTATATTGTATTTGCTCTATTAAGTATATATATTTCAAGGATTCCAAGGCTTTTTTCATAGAGAGACCCTTATCAAAATAATAAATTGTATAAATGATCTTCTGATTTGGTTGCTTATTGGAGAAGAGTGTGCTGTGGCAGAATTTAGAGACCATTTGGCCATCATTCCAAGCCTTCTGATTGTTAGACTACATTCCCAGTTCCTGCAACTGTTCATCATGTTTTAGCCTCCAGTCCCCTAATTGTCTTTGTTGCTCTTCTCTGTACTCCTTATAAAATCTCAACATGATTTTTTATCATGTTGATTTTTTATCAGAATGACTAAAATTGAATACTGTATTCCAAGTGTGGTCTTATCAGTGCAGTATAAAATGATACTAATACTTCATGTGATCTTGATACTATCTCTAATACTTACTACTTCTTTTCTATCAGACTGAAACAGAATCATAAAAATCTTGAAAAAGCGTTTACAATGAGCTCGAAATTGGTTAATATATATAAATATAAAACTACATGATTTTGTTGTTACATGCACCACAGAATTTACACAAAAGGGACAACAGTTCCAATCTCAGTTAAGTAGACATTCAAATGAACAGTATTACTTAAGATGCAGTTCCATTCAAACAGCAAATCATGCACATTTTTGAGAAATATGTCCTGACAATGCATTGGGAGTTACTTGAGAAAGCATGTCTACAATTGCTGTCTTACCTTTGCAGTGGTTCAATCCAATTTTCATTTACATAAACCGAATCATAAATCTGACTCCATTCATCTTTTATCCATGTTTGCAAATTCATCACATTGAAAAAGAACCTAAGGAACTGAAAAGACTGTACGAGTCAATGAAAGAAGCTTAATCAAAAAATTATTTGCCTTGAAATCAGATCACATTTTCTATTTTCAGCAACAACCCATTCATAATTTCTATTGAAATATTGCCTAGAGTACTAGATACGATCATAGGTATTTTCCATCAGAATTGAGGAGATGGCTATTTTGGAAATTCCACTTTCCTCCATATTTGTATTCTGTAAATATGCCCTAGAGTAGGGGTGTCAGACTGCTGGCCCGCAGGCCGGTTGCCTCATATGGAGGCTGCGCCCATCCCAGCTCTGGCAATGCAAAAAAAGTCACGATACGTCACGTGACGTGGCGAGTTTGACACCCGTGCTCTTGAGTTTCAGAACCTCCAAAATACATTGTGTACACAATTATTAGGCAAGTGAGTATTTTGACCATATCATCCTTTTCATACATATTTTCCACCTCCAAGCTTTATAAACTTCAATGATTAGTGGATATAAGCATGTCAGGTGATGTGCATTTGTGTAATGAAGGAGGGTGTGGCTTAAGGAGATCAACACCCTATATGAAGGTATGCATAATTATTAGGCAGCTTCTTTTCCTCAGGCAAAATGGGCCAAAAAAGAGTTTTAACTGACTCTGAAAAGTCAAACATTGTAAACATTTCAGAGGGATGTAACACGCTTGAAACTGCTAAGATATTGGGGCGTGATTACAGAACCATCAAATGTTTTGTTGCAAATAGTCAACAGGGTCGCAAGAAACGTGTTGAGAAAAAAAGAAGCAGGATTTAAGAAGAATCAAACATGAAGCTACCAGGAACCAATTATCCACCAGAACTGCAACCTACCTGGAGTGTCCAGAAGTACAAGGTGTTCGGTGCTCAGAAACATGGCCAAGATAAGGTAGGTTGAAACCCAACCACCAATGAACAAGACAAGTAAGCCAAAATTGCAAGTTTAGTAAAAGCCTTAAAGATGAAATAATAATGACATGGCCCCCTTCCNGCACAAGGACCAAACCCCTGCTGATACAATAGGCTGGAGACTTTAAAACAAAACAAAATCCCTTTTATTTGGGTGACAAACCTGTCAATAAGTCCAAAACACAAACAGCAAAACTCAAGTCCAAAGGAAGGAAATAGTCCACAGGAACACGTTGCAAACAAGACGAACAGACCAGGATTCCAAGAAGCACTTTGCAAACTGTTGCCTTCAGCAACCAGCAACGCCCACACCTCCCCTTTTTATACAGCAGTCCCAGGGCGTTGCCTCTCATTGCCTTCTCCTTTTACTTTGGAGTTGTCGCATTGACTGCTGTTGTTTTTCTCTCGCTACCTGACGATGTCTGCAAGCATCAATTAGCAAATCCAGGTGTGAGCCTTCTGAATCTGACTCATGCTCCTCACACAGCTGAGCTTCATCAGAAACACGACTGGAGGGGCCAGGCTCTTCATCAAGCCGTGAGTCCTGTAATTCATCACAGCCTCCCTCTGACCCTGACGGCCCCTCAAAGGCCTCCTCCACCTCCTCCTCAGATTCCTCAGACTCAGCTGTTGGGAACACAGGCTGGCACAGAATCACAACAGATATGTCAAATGATCAAGAAACTGACAGGCTCCATGAATGAAAGGCTTATGACTGTTATTGAAAAGAAAGGTGGCTATATTGGTCACTGATTTTTTTTTTTGAAATATCAGAAATGTTTATTTGTATATTTTAAGTTGTTTGTTTATTATTCTCACTTTAACAGATGCAAGTAAATAAGAGAGATGGACAAGTTTTCATTTTTCATTTAATTGCATAATAATTCTGCACAGTAATAGTTGCCAAATAATTGTGCACACACAGATATTCTCCTAAGCCAAAACCTCACTTTTACTTTCTTAAATATTCAGGTTTGAGGTTTATTAACATTTTGGATGATCGAGAGCACTGTAGAAAGAAAATTAATCCTCCAAAATACAACTTGCGTAATAATTGTGCATACTGTGTAGTGTATAGTCTGGTACAAAGAACTACAAAACACCCTGGATGTACTTATCATCACAATAATAACAAAATACAAGGATTGAATGAAATGTAATGCCTCCAGTGTTGTAGTTTTCTAATAGATAGCAATAGCAATGGTGGGAAATTGCAATGAGAAAATGATGTGTTGCTATTGTGATATGGAAGACTGCCACGAGTATTTGTCAGAACAGTTTAAACAATGTGGAGTTTTTGGTATTCTGTACAAGATAGAAAAAGTCCATTAGTGGTGTCAGCAGGAGCCAACAAGGATATATGGCAGAGTGTGGAACAGCCAAAAGAGCAGAGAAGGGGGGGGGGGGAACAGGCAGGAAGGGAAAACAGAGTTCAGAACAGGAAAAGTGTGAGATTCTTTCCTAACACACAGTTCAACCAAGACTGCCAGGACTGTTGTTGCTACGCAGCAAAGTAATGTGATGTTTTGCATAACAAGTGCTTCACTTAACAACATAAATTCCAGTCCCAATTAAGGTCATAACCCAGAGACTAACTATATTGGCTTGCACTTTAGTATGCATTATTTGATTTCACATAAAATCAAAATACCACATGAACACGAACATACATTTCTTGGAACAGTATGTTGCAATGTAGTTCTCATTTTAAGGGAAGTGCAAAAATACGTAAGTAAAAGATTATTAGATGCATTAAGTAAAATTGCAAATAGAAATGTCTGCTAGGAAAATATACAGAAAAATGCATATGAATTCAGTGCAGACTTTAACCCATCTTCCTACAAAAAATTGCAGTGACAGGATGAAAAATAAAAAAAACTGGCAAAAGTCATAACTGTCACCTCCCTTAAGTAGTATTTAAAAAAAAGCATTTTGCAGCTTTCTATCTGGCTCAATGCGAGAAGTCAATATGCCTTTAATACAATAAAAATGAATAATCAGCAATTTCTCTTGAGAAAAATCTGAAACTTGTTAGAACAATAAAGGGAAAAGAATTTTACGCAGTTGATTTTAATGAGTTTCTGCTATTCGAAGCAATTTCTTCAATTAGAATAAGAGAGGGTAATTCTTTCAGCTCATAATTTTAGATTTAATCCTCCAGGGAAAGATTGAAGGCAAACGAGGTCCAGGCAGAAGAAGAACATCATGGCTTCAAAATCTAAGGGACTGGTTTGGACAAAACTCAGCAGCACTTTTTCGTGCGGCTGCTGATAAAAACAGGATCGCCAACATGATCGCCAATGTCCGATAACGGATATGGCACAAGAAGAAGAAGAAGAAAGGATCCTCCAAGATTCAAATGAAAATTTTGAGGGCCCATGGTAGTCTGAGTTGGAACATTCCATTTTATCTGCCCTTTGATGAAGACCAGATCAGGAAACAGACACTTTTAGAAATATTAGAAGTCTTGTTCGTTGATATAAGCTACAGTAACAGAATCTTGAAAGCCTGACAGTTTCTCTTTCTCCCCTCTCTTCCTTAAAGTAGTTGTGGGCCAATCTGAAGTTTTTCCCTCATCCCCTCCTGCCCTTCTGATCTAAGCTGATGTTTTTGTAACAACTGCTGTACACTTTTTTCAAACCTATGTCCATACCCCTCTACAAATTTTGTTTCGGCCATCTGGGTTTGATCTAGTAGGTTAATAGCGGCAACTATTCATGGTGTGTTGTAGTCCAACTATTTGAAAGATTCTAAACAATGAAAATAAAGTAGTTGCTATTTCTTTTTTACTGAGTGGATAAACAATGCCTTCATTATAAAGTAGCATAATCTTCAATTGTTGTCAATACCTAGATTTTCTTCCAACGTAATTACAGTGGTTTTATGCATGGTGCTAAGGAATATATTTGATTTGGCTTTGCCTTAGCATCTTACACAGTCTATAAGCCATGCCTCATCGTTTAGCACTGGCTGCCAACCTTGTGTTGTCCTAAATATATTAATTTTATAGCTTGCCTTTTTAAAATTTTGAATACTGTATATTTATAGCTTTGTAGTATATGAGGAATGCTGAACAAATTCTCAGAAGACTGGAAGACTTCTCCACTGCAAATACAAGATAAGTAGTAGCTTTGAACAGTCATTCACTATTTAAAATATTCAAAAAAAATCCATACAACTTAAATCCAAGAATATTAGGTTATTTTTATTTAATTCCGATGAAATGCAAATATTTTAATTACCTTACATATCTTAGAAGCATCTATTGATTTGATGATTTTGCTGAACTGCTGAAGTCCAAGTTCCTCTAGTCGAAAAGTAGCCAAATAACAAATAACTAGAAAAGACACATACATTAATATTCAAGACAAAGTAAATTATTATGCTTATTAAAGATTTCTACTCAAACATTTCTTACTAACATTTCTTACAATTCTCCCAATATAGGTATCCAAGAGTGGAAATGGAGGCAAATGATAAAATTTATCACAGAGTGCATGACTTTATATTCATATATCCACTGTTGGGATATATGATGATTTATGTTGTTATGACATGTTGCACATCTTATTTTTTTCATTATTGCACGTTGTACTTGACACACATATATATAACAACTGTTACTGGTTGGTAGGTAGGTAGATAGGTAGGTAGACAGACAGATAATAGAGAGCCAACGCAGAACTAAGGAGAAATTTCCTGACAGTTAGAACAATTAACCAGTAGAATCTGGTTAATTCAGAAGTTGGGTGCTCCAACACTGGAGATTTTTAAGAAGAGATTGGACAGCTATTTGTCTAAAATGGTATACGGTTTCCTGATTGGGCATGAGGTTGGACTAGAAGACCTCCAAAGTCCCTTCCAACTCTGTTATTTTGTTATTCTGTTCTGTTACTGTATCTTCTAAACACCAGTATTTCTACAATATATTTTTGTTGGCAAAAGGCATCTCAGAAGACATTTGGCCCATAGAGGAGATAGCTGATGATTTCCATGATGCCTTTTGTGGCTCGTTATAAAAATAAGGGAAGCAAATCATACTGTGGAAACTGCAGAGGTATCTCACTGTTGTCCATCTTCACCCACATTCTCCTGAACAGACCTGTCACTCGCAGGACTGAGACTTGTCAGTCTGGAAAAGAAACCTCCCAAAGGGCAATGTGGCTTTCACCAAAACAGCAGATACGGTATTTGCCAGGAGGCAAATCTAAGAGACGTGCATCAAACATTTTTTTTATTCTGTCTTCATTGACTTGACAAAGGCATTTGACACTTGAAAAAGGAATGTTTTTTGTATCACCTTGAGATGTTAACTGTAGTCCTATTCAATCTGTTCTTTGCTTACATGTTGTCATGCTGTCGAAGGTCTGAAGGAGGGAGTGTACATCATTTACTGATTGGACAGCTCTCTCCTTGAGCTTCACAGCTTGAATGCACAGACAAAGTGCCCCCATGCAGTCATTTAAGAAACCCTTTTTGTTGATTACAGTACTGTGCACTCCTGGTGCACAAAGACAGCAAACTATAGTTGATGCTGAACAAATTCTCAAAAGCTGCTATGTTCTGCAGCCTGATTATCAGCCTGGACAAAACTGAAGTACTTTATTTGGCCCAATACCAAGTCTGTAGAACAAAACAAAATTACTATTGATAACACCCAGCTGACAAACGTAAACAGCTTCAAATACTTGGGAAGCATCATCTAGAGCAGGCATGTCAAACTTGTGACGTCACGTGACGTCGCGTGACATATCGGAACTTTTTCTCCATTGCCGGCAATGGGGTGGGCGCGGTTTTGGGATGACGTGTCCGGCCCGTGGGCCGGCAGTTTGACACCCCTGATCTAGAGTAATGGGCCTTTGGACAAAGAAATTGATTCCAGGATCAGCAAGATCAACCAGACACTGGGGCAGCTGCGTACTACAGTGCTCAATCAATACAACATCCATATCTCCACAAAACTAAGTCTACAGAGCTGTCATTGTCCTTCTCCTCTTATATGGATGTAAGTCCTGCACTCTGCCCTTAAGGCACATCAAACAACTGGAGAAATTTCGCACGAACACTCTCTGCTCCATCCTTGGAATTCATTGGCAAGACCGTGTCTCTAATCTGGAGGTCTTGGATCATGTAGAGTCCACCAGCAGTCCCAGATAAAATGGATGAGACACATCATCAGAATGCATGACTGCCATTTGCCTTGTCAGTTATTCTATAATGTGCTGGAATCTGGAAAGAGACCTTGAGGTTGACCACATAAGCACTACAAAAAATTGTGAAAGCCCAGTGTGAAATCCAGCTAAGAGAACTAGAAGCTGCAACTGATCACAAAACTCACTGGGCAGCCCTGTACTGAAACATCTACCAGCTTTGAAGATAAATGCGCCAGCAACTGATAGAAAATAGTGAGTAGTGTCACAGAATAACATCCACAGTTACTAGAACATAGAATCGTAGGTTGGAAGGGTATTAGTCTAATTAATTTTACAGCAAGTACCAAGAGAAATTAAAAACAAATTGTTATCTTCAGGACACTGCTTATTTTAGTTTGCACAAATTTTCTTAGCATTATTATATTCTGTCTCTATAAAGGAATACTTACCAATATACATGTTACGCTCAGATAATAGGCAATGTTTTCCATCTCGGATATAAAATGCATTGACTACCACATCCAATACAGTTTTATATTCTAAACAGCCACACAAGATATCCATTACAGGTACAGGGATTTCATCTGTTACTTTGAAAGTCTACAGAAACAGAATTAATTTAAATATAAAAACAAAAACTTAATATATGTAAATAAATGTCATCATATAATGTAAAATAATAGTAGTAATATTAGCTACTATTGTCCAAAAGGTATAACCAAAACGCATAAGTAATATACATTTTGAGTAGTACAAAAAGTACAAAGCGTAATTATCCACTATGAATTAATCCAAGCAACATTTAAAGTAAAAGAATTGTGTGATAGCTTGTCCAGGAAAAATCAGATCTAACTGGATTGAAGAATTAATCACTGACTCAAAATTCATGTAATAACTGGATTTTAAATATGTCTCAGTATGCAATAGCAGATTCCCCAGATAATATTTAATAAAATCTGTATAAGAATGTAATGTGCAAAAAAGAACTCATCACACTGAATAATTGTGTGTAAAACTCCATATTCTGATTCAGAACATTCTTGTTTTCTCCTGGAAAATATCAACTCAATCATTCCAAGTGAATTCATTTAGTGACCATTCAAAGTTACAATGTCACTAAACAAAGTGACTTATGACCATTTTCCCATGACCATTGCAGCATCCCCATGGTTACGTGATCAAAATTCAGCAGCTTGGCAACTGACTCATATTTATGATGGTTGTGATGTCCCAGAGTCATGTGATCACCTTTTGTGACCTTCTGATAAGCAAAGTTAATGCCGAAGTCAGATTCATTTAACAACCACACTATTAACTTAACAACTGCAGTGATTCACTTAACAACTGTGGCAAGAAAGGTCATAAAATGGGCCAAAATTCATTTAACTGTCTCACTTATCAACAGAAATTTTGGGCTCAACTGGGATCCTAAGTCAAGGATTACCTATACAGAGAGGTTCTCCTACAAGGGAAGAGAAGCAGCATATCTTGGGTTCTTTTTTAAAAAAAATCTGTTTGTAATTCTGATTCCCAGACTAGATTCCTAGACTAGATTCCTAGGTAGGAATTGGTTATTTCCAATAAATGAAACTTCTCTATCTACTAGCACAGAGTTAGGTCCAGATACAGGTTTATCAAATTTTAATTGTTTTAGGGAGTTTGATGTCCAAAATTCATTCAAGTCCTCTTTTTCTTTCTCACCACTGAAGAAATAATAAAAAAATCCAAAAAAAACCTATGACTACTTTAGACAGTCTTAATTGGTTAGAAAATTAGTTTAAAACTAGATAATTAGGAACAAATGAGAGATAAAAAGAACTAAGTAGTAGAGATAATATATATATGTAATATTTTAAATAATACAGTATTTTAAATGTGCATTTTCTGAAAGCTTCAAAAGACATCTCATACCTGTAATACTTTAGCTGATTCATTCAAGAAATGCCCAACGTTCTCATTTTCAGGATGGAATTTGTTAAGCTGCTGAATTATTCTTTCAATGTGTCCCAATGGGTCAGCCATCTTCATTCTGCATAAACCTGGAATCATTAAATGTCTACATTTCGTCAGTTGTAATTTAGTTTTAAGCATATAATCATTACTGAAATAATATAATTTTGCTTGAACAGATTGTCTCCTAATACAGATATAAATATTGGTATACCTGAAACCTCCAGAATTAATTTGTCAGATGAGCAAATTCATTCATATATTTGTTTGCTTTTGAACTATAACTGCTCTTCAGAGCAAATACTGTAAGATTTTTCATTCTTAACAGGAAGGAACCCTTGACTACTGGGGCAATCGTTAATTCAGAAGTATTAACTGTCTGCCATTTACCTGGCATTCACCATGGAACCAGCTAGAAAAGTAAGGGATTTGGATATTTTTGGTATTAGCGTGGCACAAATAAATTAGCAATACGTATGACATTTAACCAAAGGTGCTATGAAATCAAAACTATACCCTATATCAGTGATGGCGAACCTTTTAGAGACCGAGTGCCCAAACTGCAACCCAAAACCCACTTATGTATTGTCGGGTGCCAGGTGGGTGTGGCCCATTGGGTGGGCATGGCTTCAGTGGTAATGGCAGATTGGATGGGACTAAAAAGTTCAATCAATTTGCAAGATCTTTTTTTTTCTCATGAGAAGTTGAAATTGATTGATTGAACCTTTTTTTGGGGGGGTACACGGCGGCGGAGGCCTAAAGCGAAAAGGTTTAATAAAACCCAGTAGAAGGCCTAGGACTGGGGTGACAGTGCGTGTGCCCACAGAGAGGGCTCTGCGTGCCGTCTCTGGCACACGTGCCATAGGTTCGCCACCACGGCCCTATATCTTAATGCACAAACAGGGATATGAAAAAATTATAAGGATGTAAAAAAGTATTCTCTTTTAAATCACTTTCAAAGCAGTACAGTCTTAGACTACACTAGACTGGAAAGACTTCATTAATATTTTATTTTAAAAAACAGTGCTAGAGAAGATTGTGTTCTGACCAAGGCTGTGGAGTCGGAGTCGGAGTCAGAGTCGAGGAGTCGGAGTCGGAGTAAATTTTGGGTACCTGGAGTCGGAGTCGGCAAACAATGCACCGACTCCGACTCCTACTAAATTTAGATTGGAATTAAAAAAAAAAGCAAGTTTAAATGTCCCAATTCACAAAAAGTTATAATTAATGACTTCTCTACTGTAAGAATAAAGACCAATGCATGCAGTGCCTCACGTAACTGCAAAACGAACACGTTAAGTGACCGTGAAGAAGCATGCTTTTCATGTGCATGGAATGTATAAAATACATTCGCATATTAATACAGAGGAGTCGGAGTCGGGGAGTCGGAGTCGGAGTCGGAAGTACAAAAAACTGAGGAGTCGGAGTCGGAACATTTATCTACCGACTCCACAGCCCTGGTTCTGACAGTTTCTCAGAGAATAGGATTCAGAAAGTGATGAGCTAGACTACTTTCCAATCCAGCGGCCAGCTTCCCATAAATGAGTCCATTCGGGTTCTATTTGGTTCCCCTTGTATCGTAATTATTTTACATGAAGGTGCCTGGAGCAAAGTTGTTTTTAAAAATTGTAAATCTCCCGCAGCCTCTATTTCTACAGTACATAAAGATAAATATATTTAACAATTTGGAATCCCGCATAGTTAACCCACAGTTCTAATCTCCTTGCCATCTCTTTGTCATATTAAGTAATCACTGCTGAATTTTCTACCCACTACACCATTCATTGTTCTAATCCTCTAAGCTCCTAAACCTCTTACCAGCTTATCAGCAGCATATTTTTAAGGGAATATTAAAGCTGTACATCTGCCAGCCCTACAAGTTAGCCTTACAATGATATCTAAGTTAGGACTATGTTTATTGTGACAGCTATAGCAACGGAATCTTGCAAGTCTGCATGTGCTTCCCTCCCCATTTCTGTGAACTGGGGAGGGGGCAGGTACTCCTCGACTTACGCCCACAATTGAGCTCAAAATTTCTGTTGTGAAGTGAGACATTTGTTAAGTGAGTTTTGCCCCATTTTACAAACTTTCTTGCCAAAATTAGATGAATCACTGCAGTTCTTAAGTTAATAACATGGTTGTTAAGTGAATCCGACTTCTCCATTGACTTTGCTTGTCAGAAGGTTACAAAAGGTGAAATCTTGTTCCCAGGACACTGTGATCATCATAAATATGAGTCAGTTGCCAAACGTCTGAATTTTGATCACATTACCATGGGGATGCTGCAACAGTCCTAAGTGTGGAAAACAGTCATAAGTCACTTTTTTCAATGCTGTTGTAAGTTTGAACAGTCACTAAATGAACTGTTGTAAGTTAAGGACTACCTGTACTCTCTTTAGATCTCTTCTTCCTGATTTTGCACAACAGCAGCACCAAAACAAAAGTTCTGTGACTGTGCTCCAATAAAGCCACCCAGGGTAATCTGTAATAACATGGATCCCAAAGATAAACCATGCAAATCATAGAGGATTTGCGCCTCAAGTTCATGGGTGTTATGGCCGGGCCAAAAAACAGGACGGCGATAGTCTCATGC